CAATCCGCACGTCTGACTTGAGCGTTCGGAGGGGTTTCCGCCGGATCAACCCTCGGTCTAGTTCACGTGCTCTCTGTTCGTAGGTATCTCAGGGTCATCTAGCACGTGAGCAGTGATCCACTGTGCTCTCCCAGCTCCCTCGATCTCAAATACTTAAGGTGATATATATATAGCATCATCTATATATATATATATATATATATATATATATATATATGTGTGTGTGTGTGTTTTTTCTTTTTTCATGTATGCTTATTATATATATCAGTCGATCATCATACATTCTAAAAGTAAGTTTGTTTGGCTAGTTATCATTTCTTAGATAGTTAGTTGATAAATGGGAAATGGTAAATATGTTTACCAGAAGGACACTTCATTAAAAAAAAGGGATATTCAACTTTTTTTGTTTTTTAAATAAATCCAGTTCATTCAAACTTATTTGCAAATAAGGAAATTATATTTCTTTTATATATACTAAAATTACTTTCAATTCCTTGAAACCTTAATTCGACTCCAATTTCATGATTTATATCCTAATTTAGATCCATTTCACAAATTAACTAATTTTGATACTTCTTCCAATTTTGAACACCACCGCCGGAGACCACTGGTCAGCCGACGTTGACCGTCGGAGACCGTCGGTCTCCGGCGTTGACTTGGTTTTTTTTTTTAATATTTTTTTCCGACAGGTCAACCGCCGTTGACCTTTTTTTTTTGAAAGCTTGTTTTTTCTTAAAAAAATTATTTAAATTAATATTATTGTCTTGACTGCTAAATTACTGTCTCCAACAGTAATTTAACTGTCGGAGACAGTAATTTAACTGTCTGAGGCAGTAATATTACTATATGAGACAATAATTTTACTGTATTAAATAATTTGATCGTTTTGGCCTACAACTTTGTTGTTTTCGACCGATAGTAATATTAGTACTGTCTAATGCAATAATATTGTTGTTTGAGACGGTAATATTAGAAATATTGTTGTTCGGGAAAGTAATATTCATAATATTACTTTTCGGGACGGTAATATTGGTGTTCGGCGACAGTAATATTACTATTTGAAACAATAATATTACTGTTTCGGACAGTAATAATAGTAATATACTGTTTTGATATTCAATATTACTATCTTAGACAATAATTTTGTTGTTAACACAGTAATTCAGAGAGAGAAACAAAAGTTTAAAAAAGAAAAGTCAACGCCGGAGACCGCCTGGTCAACGGCGGTTAACCGGCCGGAAATAAATTTTAGAAAAAAAAATATTCTTTCAAAAAATTATGAAAATGGGGGTTAATATGATATACTTGTTCAATTCCGGGGTCAATGTATAATATTGATGAAGTTAGAGTATAATGGATGGAAGTGATAAAAATTATATCATACAGGATATTTTAGACAAAAAACATGGGAATGAGTTTACTTACTAGAGTATTTTTTGTTTGGACCTATGCGCATTTAAGTCATTTGTCATAGACTTATTTGCCATTCGACCTTGATAAATCTGGCGAAACGCAAAGAAGTAAGAGTTGAAGATTTTGTTGTTCTTACTTAGTAGAATTGATGGTTGGGATAGATATATTATTTCATGGATGAACAAAGTGAAATATTTATTACAATATATACAAAACTCGAGGAAAAAGCAATATATGTTCTTCTATTTTTTCCCCCGCTTCTTATAAATCGCATCATAAATAGCCTTACAACACATGCAATAGACGCACACACTTGCTCGCAACAAGCAATTATTACTGGCAAATTCCTTCGTAGTTACCTCGCAAAATTTTGAGCACTGAAGTGATCGTTGGTCTGCTATCGGGATCCTGTTGGGTGCATAAGATACCAACTTCAAGGCATTTTCGCGCTTCGTCGGGCACATATGTCTCAATCAAGGAATCTTCTACCGTTTCAGATACCGTGCCTATACTCCTCACCATCTTTGCCTGAAGATTATTTTCTCCCAATTAACGATTAAGGTTATTGTTCAAAAGAAAAATTACTTATATATATACTCTCTTTGTCTCGTTTTAAAGGGTCGTTTATGGTTAATGCACACTAATTAAGAAAGTTCTATAACAAAAAACTCTTATTTAACAAAACTATCCCTTTGTGTTTCTCAATTTTTCTTTGTTACTTCATTAATACATCTGTCATTAATGGTGGGGTAAATTTGGAGGGAAACAAATTATTCTACATTAAAACTCTAAAGTGACACTCAATATGCGAAAAAATAAATTGACTAAAAAGACACTTAAAAAAAAGAAACGGAGGCAGTATATAATAGTATGTGCTTACATTGTCAATAAGGGATGCGACTTCTGAAACCGTTGTTACCATCTTGCCACTCATGATCACCAAGACTATGACTCCGAAGCAGTATATATCTGTTTTCATTTTCAAATTGTACTCTCGAGACATATTGTCAGTACTGCACACAAATAAACAAAATAATGAGTTAAGGCTCTGTTTGGTTCATGAATTTTGAAATGAGGAAAAGGAAAATGCAGAAGCAAATGCAATACCAAAAACAAAATTGAAAATTGAGAGTCTTGATGCAAACAAAACCTAAGAGTAGTCAAAAAGGAATTTGAGGAGCAGTGAACGAACAAGAAAGACACTTACAGGCCGATCGTAGATTTAGCTAATGCGAATCCAAAAATTTTAGGGTTCATCATTGACTCATCCACCAAAATATTGCTTAAGTTCAGATCTCGATGTACAACTCCGAGTCCCGAATATTCATGAAGATAAGGGACTCCTTCCGCAATCCCGATTTTCAAATTGAACCGTACTGGCCATTGATTAAGGGCAAACGACCTCAACCGGTCCTTATGCATGCTTGAAACTATATATTCAGAAAAAAAAAAAAAAAAAAAAAAAAAAAAAAAAAAAAAAAAAAAACTTAGTTGCGCTGAATCGTGACTATCTCAGCCAAAAGCTTAAACTGTTAATTAGGGGAATCATTTAATATTTATATCTCCAACACGCCCATCTGCACTGGAGTGCAGAGTTATATACTAACAAGTTGATTATGTTCAATTGTTAAATTAAATGATTATGATCTTATAACTAATTAAATTGGAGTTGTTGAAGCACCAACGTTGCAACAAAGTATCTAAAGAGCATGGGAACATGTACTCATGCACAAGCAACTTTTCTTGTCCATGAATGCAATAGCCAATCAGTTTAATGATGTTTGGATGCTCAAGTTTCGGTAGCAGAAAAATCTCGTTCTTGAACTCGGTGAGGCCGCCTATTCCCGAAGACGGTGAAAACCTCTTAACGGCAAATTTTCCACTAGGTCCGAGCGAAGCCTACACATATATTTTTCACAAATTAATTAGTTTAATCAATAGCAGAGCCAGGATTTTGGGTTCTGGAGGCCGAATGCATTAAAAAAAATTATGTGGGGCCATGGCCCCCGGCCTTATGTTGGCTCCGTCACTGGTTATAATCATATAATTCATGTTTGGCGGTTAGAGTTATGACCATGTGAATGGTGGTGGTGCCCGATTTGCCTCGTGCAACTAAATTTAGATCGGAGAAGTTATCCGTGCCAGCGACAATCATATCCCAATCAAACTCGGTTACTATGATGTCCGCGTCGCGGCATTTTTCACGAATTTCTGCACTAGGCAGAAAATTTCATGAGGATATATATAAAAAAAAGAAAATTCAATAAATAAAACATTAGACTAACACGCTATTACTATATTCATGAGTAATACGAAATGTTTGTTGACCTGATAATAACGATTCGTTTGGGGACGATTCAAAGTCGTCCCGAACTGCGGCCGGCCACCGCGCAGGTCGAAATGGCCTGGTATACATTGAGCAG